TAGGGAAAGATAGTTCAATAAACCCAAAAACAGGTAAGAAATCACATTGTTAAGGGTAGAAATCGCACGAAAAACCGAAAGGAAAAAAATTAATCAAATACAGAATTGAAACGAAATTACCACATTAATCTGAAAATGTGGAAGAATGATTTGAAATTTCTAGAGAGTCGACTCGTGTGGTTAAGCATGCAAAACGAAAGAGAATGAAATGTTAAATGTCGATTGTTTTCGAGTGAGAGACGAAATGAAAGAGTAGGAAAGGGAATTGGGCCTAATAAAGTTAAAAGCATCTGCCTCGAACTGTCTCGCGATACCCTCTACAACTTGACACGCAGACACGCAGTAGTCCCTTGACCTAAATGAATAGTGGACTATTTAGGCAAAATGTATTGTATGAACAATGTGCAAAAAGTTGGAACTCAAGAATGAATACTAATTTTGGATGGCCTCTTTTAAGGTAGATGAGATATAGGAAAAAAAAAAGGAAGAAGTAAAAGGTAAGACACGCATTCCTAAGAAGAGTACCAAGACAAAGTCTCTCTTTTAATGTATAAGGATAGTGAAAATGGAGTGTTGTCGTTTATAGTTGAGTCTAGGAAATCTTTTATGATTTATATATGCAAAAACTAAAAGATTTCTTACATAGATGTATTGGAGTCCATTCTTACCGTTCTTTACTGTTATAAAAATATGATGTTCGCGTAACTATACATATGGGGTCCTGGATAGGGTCGTATATGAAAATATTAATATTTCCAATTTCCACATTATGCTCCTGTTTAGTGGAGATTAAAATCGGATTATTATTATTACTACTACTACTATTACTACTTTAAATGTTGGATGGCCTCTTTTAAGGAAGGGGGGATAAGAGGAAGGTAAGACATGCATTCTTGGAAATAGTACAAAACAAAATCTCTTTTTTTAATGCATAGGGAAAATGGATGGCTTTTGTTTATAGTTGAGCCCGGAAAATCTTTTACGATTTATACATATAGACACTAAAAGATTTCTTACCAANAGTACAAATCAAAATCTCTTTTTTTAATGCATAGGGAAAATGGATGGCTTTTGTTTATAGTTGAGCCCGGAAAATCTTTTACGATTTATACATATAGACACTAAAAGATTTCTTACCAATGTACTGAAATCATTCTTACCATTCCTTACTGATTATATAAATATGGTTTTTACATGATTATACAGATGAAATCCTAGATAGGGTCGAAGATGAAAATATTAATATTTTTTTATGTTTGAATTATGCCCTTGTTTGGTGGGGAATTAAAATCAGATTCTTTAAAAAAAAATTTGATAAAAGTTGATGAAATTTGTAGTTGAAATGTGTGAATAAAACATATATTTGAACAACTTAAATTCTTTTTAAGTCCATATTTCGCTCTAC